AAAACATACAGTTGTATATAAAAAGTTTTACAGGAGAAAAAATACTATAAAACTATACTATAAACATATATTTAATAGTTGATTTTGAAAAAAAATATTTTTAAACGATATTCATAGGAGTTCTTGAATACTTTTAAAATAATAATAATAATAAACAAATATATATATATATATATATATATATATAGATTAAATATAGCTTACAAAAAATTAACAAAACATATAAAATTGCTTAGTAAAGCTCGTTCCCGTGTTTGTATCTGATCATGCGCAGCTGGCCAATGAATTAACTGGATTAGCACACGGGAGCGCGCATAGACTGCCAGAGCAGCAGCGGCGTTTACAACAGTGAGCGATATTTCACATACACAAATCAAACTATACCAACACGTTAAGGGTGTTTTGACCAAATACACGAGCACAAATGAGTAAAGAGTTTGACCGACCCTCATGGGATTGAGTTTGTGAACTGAAAACACGCGTTCAGCGGGACGTTATGGCTGGAAATGGTGAGCTTTCAGGAGAACTCGGGAAAGAAGAAGAGGATTCAGAAAACCTGTTTGAGTTTGGAGATGATCTGGAGCTCAATCAGTTTGATGGACTCCCATACTCCTCCAGATACTACAGACTCCTGCAGGAGAGGAAAACCCTGCCCGTGTGGAAATACAGACACGAATTCATGACTTTGCTGGAAAATAACCAAATTCTCATAGTCTCGGGCACTACAAAGACTGGTAAAAGCACACAGGTGAGTGATTGAGACACACACACGGTAATCCTAACACATGTTTTACCATCATAAATTCAGTGTATTTACGCCACATGTAAAATATCCACATGTGTTGGTGTCATGAACTTGTCATTCATTTGTGGTTTGCCTGTAAATTGAAATTTAAATAAAAATTGTCAAGAAAATGTGCAAATCTAGCATCTATTTTAACTTAATGTTGCTAATAATAATGCTGTTGAACACTAAAAATAGCCTGGAGAAACATAAGGCCACACTGCCATTGAACAACACTGAAACACTGTTGGGGAAAGTTACTTTTGAACATTGAGTTACTCCCCACAAAAATTACAAATATACAATATTGAGTTACTCCCCCCAAATAAAAATTGAGGTAAAGTTGGTTTTATATTTGCACATTCGTTCATTTTTGAACTTGTAATATGCCAAAATTAAGTGTGTTTTTCCTTAAAACAAGCTAAATAATCTGCCAATGGGTGAAGTAAAATAATTTTGTCAAAAAGATAAAAACAAGATTATTTTGTTTACACCATTAGCAGATTATTTTGCTTGTTTTAAGAAAAACTCACTTATTTTTGGCATATTGTTTCTTAAAACAAAGCTTTTTTGCTTGTTTTTTGTTTGATATTTTAGAGTAGAAACAAGATTTTTTATTTTTTTTTGCAGTGAGGCGATATTTTGAAGGAAGCTATAAGCCTGTATTGACTTCCATGTGATTACTGCTATAATATACTTTTTAAATGTCTGTGTAAAAAAAAAAAAACTGTTTTCCCTTGTAAACAGAATATTTTTATTTTAAGAAACAGTTAAAATATTTTGGAACAGCAAACCTGTCAGGCTAAAATAGAGGTAAAGATGGTTTTATATTCGCACATTTGGACTTTCCCCTTAATGATATAATTTCATAAAAGTATTATTTGCAAACTCTAAATAGCAAAATTATATTACAAGCAAATGATTATCAAAGTACAACATTGTTCACAGTCAAATAAACAGTGTTAATGTTGTTTTCAAGTCATACTTGCATGCTAATTCCGATCAAATATTCAAAGTAACATGGTAAACAATATAGAGACTTCTAAAGGAACGAATGTGTGAATATAAAACCAAATTTACCTCTATCAGGCTAAATAATTCAAATGAATTATTGACTTCTCCTGTCTTTATTTCAAAACCAGATTTTTGTTTGACAATTTAAAACTGCATCTTTCGAGATCTATTCTGCTGGAGATACTGTTGTCCTAAAAAACAACAAGAAAAAAAAAGTAAATAAAAAAATTGCACGGAGCGGCATTGCAGAAAATGTTCACTGTTTTAAAACCTTGACTTCTCCAAACTGCGGTATATCTTGAAAACGGTTATCGTCCCATGTCTAGTCTGGACTGGACAGTGTTGAGCAGTTGAGAAAAAGCCACATATAGCATCTTTAAAATCCAGGTAAAGTTATTTTTATATTTGGTACATTTGTTCAGGAACATCACGGTCTGTATTGTTTACCACGCTATTTGAATATTCGGTCGGAAATTGTATGACTTTAAAACAACACTAGCACTATTTAATTTATTGAACAATGTGTACATGATCAGTAATCAAATCATTTGCCTTAATCTGAAAAAGACAATAACATAATTAAGGTGTTTACATGAGTTGCTTTTTGAATGTTCCTAGCATGTTATAGCACATAATTCGATTAACGTCATTGCGTCACCACGCTATCCACATTTCCTCTGGAGTTTCATGTAATTTTGGATGTTTCATTATTAATTTGTCGTCTTTAACTGCAGTTTGGTACTTTCACTTTCATTCAGGAACATTTCATGCATACCCCCTGTAACAAATGAGATATTGGATGCGAGTATGAACTGCTGGAAGAGTGTAGTTTTAATTGAATTTGATAACACATGCTATACGGGGGAAAAACCCTCTGCATTTCGCAATGCAGGTGTCTGTGGTTCTTCACTGACTCGGTGTAGAGAATAGTGTCAAACAGCTGTGTGTGTATAGACTATCCCAGGGCTCGAAATTAACCTTTTTTGCTTGGTAGCACCGGTGCTCCTAACTTTTAAAATTTAGGAGCATCAGACAAAATTTAGTCGCACCCACCAATTATAAGCACCGTTACTACAAGTTTTATACAAACATATTTGTTGCATTTGAAATCAACAGTAATCAAACTAACAAGTATATATATATATATATATACATACACATATATATATCCCTTTATCACAAGAAAATAGATTTTTATAACATAACTGAGTGACCAAAAGGTACACGGACCGTTCACCGGTCCTGCACACATTGCTTGACATGAATGATTCTGTTAATGGTATAACTGTGCTGTTCTCACGGGTGTTGTCTGATATTGCACTGATGTTTTTGACACATACTGTACCTTATTATATGCATACATCATGTTTATAGTAATTCTGGTCTTTTCATGAGTAGCGATATTAGTTTACTCAGTGTAAGCCCGTTTGTGATGGTGTACGTGGTGTTAAATTTGACATATAGCTGCCCCTTGCACGGCGGACAGCATCTGGTGATTATATGAAGGATTAAACAGAAGCTCTGGTGCTAGATGTGGCAAACAGTTACCTGAAAATTTCATCCCACAGACTTTTCATAGCGGACTTGAAGCTAATGGAAGTCTTTTATCCACTCTTGGAAAAGTGTAGATGGTGGATTAACATTCAGCACATGGTCACTAGTAAGATGTGTCATTATTTGTAACTTAAGATGCCATGGTTTCTAAAACAAAATCTCTCAGTGTTATCTTCATTCTCATCTTCAGCGCTTTACAGTTTTTCGCGGTAGTAGCTCTATGACATCCCAAGCCAGAAGGCACTGACTAAGTGATTGACAGCTGATATTTCAGTGCTAGAGCAGTGGGCCAATAAGAAGAGCACAAAGGCGGGGCAAGCATAACGGACTTGGCTTTGTTTAATACAGCAAGTTGACATGACAACTGTTTTAAACCATTCCTGAGCGCTGCGTTTCAAGTGCAGAGATGCTTTCTGCATATGTCTCCCGAATCCGCGCATGTGGTGAACATTTTGCAGTAAAAACTGATTAAACACAACAATTTCATGCACTTGCACAAATGCTCCCAAATATATTTTGAGGTCGCATAGATAAAATTTCGGGCGCATATGCGACCAAAATGGTCGCAATTTCGAGCCCTGTATCCTGTCGCAAAATGTGGCGAAAATGCTACATGATGGTAATAGTTTGATTGGTGTGTTTCCATGTCTGCACTGCACTTCAATAATGCAACTAAAATCGGCATATTTCACATCTTAGGCCCCGTTTACACTTGTGCGTTTTAGTTTTAAAACGGCGTTTTAGAATGAAAACGATCCGCGTCCTTACTAACAACTCTCCATCTACACCAAAACACTGAAAACGCACATTACGTGACCACACACACACACACACACACACACACACACACACACACACACACACTCTGGCATGCGCTGCAGCACATCTAGCCAGATGAGAGCTGTGCTCGTCTGAACTGTTCATCAAGGATCTACCGCTGGATATAATCCCATTATATTTGCTAACCGTGATATTAAATTCATCTTGTTGTCTATTCTTGTGCTGTGTAGTAAAATATCAAATTGTGAACAGGATAGTCAATGCACCAGAGCGCACAGAAATATCGAATTAAACTGAATCGATGGCATGATAATCGTAACCGAACCATGAGACCAGTGTAGTTTCACAGCCCTAGTGTCCATGTAAACATACCTCTTTCTTTAATCACAGTTCAAATTCCAGCTCAACATCTAACGGGTTGCAGCCATTTGGGTTCAGATTCCTGACATTCTGGTCATTTAACACAATAAAAGCCCCACAGTTTGGCCTCTGCTCATGATATCAGTCTCAGACCTGCTGTTTTGAAATCATGTGACTTTATCATGATGTTTTCACTCTGAGCAAATATGCTTTACTAATCATCGAAAACGAGGTCATCAGTTGTGTTTACAGTGAGTCAGCTGCAACCATTGTGTTCAATCCTGTAAACAAATAGTGTGCATTCAGCTGATCAGCACACTTTTTTTGTGACAGCTTTCCTTGTTATATCATAGGAGTTTAACAACTGTGTGTGAATCAGTGCTGCATAGTGCAAACAAATTTAAAAGATGTAAATGTAATTTTTTAAAAATATGAGGCAGTATCGGCATTGATGATGATGATGATGATGATAATAATAATAAGCATTTTTAATAATGGAGCTTTATATTAGGATATCATTATAATATTAGGATAATTTGAAGGATTATGTTGCAGCTGTTTTATTTATTTATTCTCATAGAAATCTACTTTAAATTGTTGTAGTATTAAGTAAATGCAGTCTTGGCAATTATAAGAGATGTCTTTCAAAAAAGAAAGAGAATTTGCCAGTGCAATTTTATTATTTATTTTGTTTTAAATAAATGGTATTTTATATATATATATATATATATATATATATATATAGTTTATATAATTATTTTCATTCTATTTTATTTATATTATTATCAATATTATTATTGTGTATATTATTATTTATTTATATTAATCATTTGCATGTATAATATCTTATGCAATTTTTCTTTTCATGTATGTCTGTATTTTTCCATTTATATTTATGTATGTTTCTTTTGATGTGTTTTTGTTTTATTTTATTTTATTAAAATTGTTTATTTATTTGCATGTATAATGTCTTATCTATTTTTTCTGTTCATGTATATTTCAGTGGACTAAAAAACAAATTTGCCAGTGGATTTATCAAATTATTTTATTTATATTTTTTATTGTATTTATTTATTTTATTGTTTTGTTATTGTTTAGATTTTTTTCTATTTAATTTGTAAATTTATTTGCATTTATAACATCTTATGCTATTTTAATTTACATGTATATTTTAGTACATTCAAAAAACATTTTTTAGAAAAATCAAAGTTCAACAAAATAGAGAAACAAAATTAAATGTACGGTGACTTTTAGTGTGTTTTATGATCTGAAAGTTGCAGATCGGTAGAATCCATAACTGTATATTTTGCCCTTATTTTGGCTATATTATTTATATTTTGTAATTGTGTGCATGCACTGTTTTTGCAGTGAATACACTTAAATTAAACTGTTTCATTAATTCTTATATAAAACTACTTCAATATTATTATGTAAATGCACTCTTGGCCACCAAAAATTGGCCAGTGGATTTTAATTTAATTTAATTTAATTTAATTTAATTTAATTTAATTTAATTTAATTTAATTTAATTTAATTTTAATTTTAATTTAATTTTAATTTAATGTTTATTTTTTATTTATTTATTTTATTTTGGTTTGTATTTTTACATTTTTAATCGCATTATTTATTTTTTTTATTAAAATTGCTCATTTCTTTATTTGCGTATATGATATCTTATGCAATTTTTTTGTTCATGTATATTTCAGTGAACTCAAAAATACAATTAAATGAATTGGGTTTTAATGTGGGTTACTTTTATTGTGTTTTATGATCTGAAAGTTGCATATTTTCCCTTTATTTTGGCATTATTATTATGTAAATGTGTGAATGAGTGTAGTCAGTGGAAAGGTAAGCTCTGCATCTGTTGGGCTGACCCGATCTGCCTGTTCTCAGCAGTTGCTCTTGTTTAAGACAGATTTTTCTCAGCTGTTAAACACATTCTAGCACTCGTCACAATGTGAAGTGCCTGCAGAGAATATCTGTCTGCAGGACACAGAACACCAGAGCACTTTCTGTGTAGCATATAGCAGGACCGGCTAATAAGAATCATAATAGATTACACATGAGCAATTTCATGTAAATGTCAACCTTGTCATGAAAAAAAAATGTAGGTTTTCACACGCACCTGCCAGTACCTGACTGTATTGTTTTTGTTTTTTGTTGATTCTTTGTATTTGTATGATCCTAATTTGTGTACCTTTTGCATATTCTAATAAAAATAAATAAATAAAATTTTAAAATCTACATTTAAAAAAAAGGTTTTATTTCTTTAGTTTTAGTTTTTTGTTTTCACATGTTTTTGTGTCTTTTCCAAAGCAATTCTAAAATGAATATATTTTTAACCTAACATGTAAGATAATAATACTAGATTTTTTAGGCTTTTTTTAACATTTTGTTTACAATAGTTTATATAAACCAGTGGAAAGAAACGTCTGAAATATTACTGTTTTATTGCATTTTAATGTGCATCTGTAGATTTCAAGGTGTTTTCATGTAAAGGTATGGTGTTATCTCTAATCTGATAATTAGTTTTAGTTTTTTCCTCTGTCAGTTGCTCGAGTGCTTTAGTTAAGATTGTGTAGATTCGATTTCTGTAGTAAGCAAGGTCTGACAAAATGTGTGTCTTTAATGCAAATCAAAATGCTCTGTGTAATGCATGAAATTGTAAAACTTCTTTAATTGTGTGTTTGTTGGTTTGTTTGTTTTTTGCATGTACAGCAGGGGTGTCCACACTCCTGGAGTGCCAGTGTCCTGGAGAGTTTAGCTCCAACCCTAATCAAACACACCTTAACCAGCTAATCAAGCTCTTACTAGATATACTAAAAAACTTCCTGGCAGGTGTGTTAAAGCTAGGACACCGGCCCTCCAGGACTGAGTTTGGACACCCCTTATGTTCAGTATAGTGCTGTTTGACCGGAATGCTTTAGCACAGGCAGTTATAATAACGCTGGTGTTTTTGTGCAGATCCCGCAGTGGTGTGCAGAGTTCTGTCTGTCTGCGCAGTATCAGCACGGTGTGGTTGTGTGCAGTCAGATCCAGAGACGGCAGGCTGTAGATTTGGCTCTCCGGGTTGCAGACGAGATGGACGTAAACATCGGGCATGAGATTGGCTACAGTATCCCGCTGGAGACGTGCTGCTCCAACGACACTATCCTCAGGTGTGTGTGAAAACCTCACTCTGATGCTCACGGATATACCAAAGGCTTTCACATTGGTTGGTTTGCTCAGCTAAAGTATGTGGCAACTTCTCAAATTCTTGACATTTTTGAGGCCTTTTTGTTTTATGATCTGGCATTTTTAATATTTGTGACATTTCTACCAGTGTAGATTTGGAAAATAATGATGAGCGCATTACTGGATAATCTATGCCAGTATTTTCTAACGTAATAGTTTTTTTTTTTTTTAATCAAACCTTTGTTTTGTATAATGTATATTAAATTTAATCTCTCACCGGCCACTTTATTAGGTACACCTTACTAGTACCGGGTTGGACTCCCTATCTGCCTTAATCATTTGTGGCAGAGATTCAACAAGGTACAGAGACTCATCAGACCAGCAACGTTTCTTCAATCTTATATTGTCCAGTTCTACTGAGCCTGTGTGAATTGTAGCCTCCATTTGTTGTTCTTAGCTGACAGGAGTGGCACCCGGTGTGGTCTTCTGCTGCTGTAGCCCATCTGCCTCAAGGTTGGACGTGTTTGCGTTCAGAGATGCTCTTCTGCAGACCTCGGTTGTAGCGAGTGCTTATTTGAGTTACTGTTGCCTTTCTATCAGCTGGAACCAGTCTGGCCATTCTCCACTGACCTCTTGCATTAACAAGGCATTTGCGCCCACAGAACTGCCCCTCACGGGATATTTTCTCTTTGTTGGACCATTCTCTGTAAACCCTAGAGATGGTTGTGCATGAAAATTCCAGTAGATCAGCAGTTTCTGAAATACTCAGACCAGCCCGTCTGGCACCAACAACCATGCCACGTTCAAAGTTACTTGGATCGTCTTGACCATGTCTACATGCCTAAATGCATTGAGTTGCTGCCATTTGATTGCTGATTAGAAATTTACGTTAACAAGCAGTTGGACCTAATAAAGTGGCCAGTTAGTGTATGTATGTTTTATAACTGTTTTTAACATAAATATTAACATTGTAGTACTGTTTTTGACAACTGTTTTATAAAAATAAAATATTTATCATTGAAGAAATGTTTACTGTTAGATTTTTCAGCGATTGAAGTTGATTTTTAACTGGTCAGATGATAAGACTTACAAAAACCCATTTTTATTACTATCAAATATAATGTCAGACATTTTTATCATCTAAAAAACTTAGTAACTTTATTGCATTAATTTAGGCAAATTGGTAATCACAAACACATTTATATTTTATTATAACATTTTGTTTAGTCACATTATTCTGAATCCTATATGAATACATTTTTAACTTATTTTGATCAAATCATGAAGGTCCGTCTGATCTTATTTTATTATGGAGATATGTCCAGTCAAATACATTTAAAAACATTAATAAAAAATGTAATGAAAGACACAAAATCTATTATTTTTAGCATGTTTATTTATTTATTAAGGGTTTCACGATTTAGATTTTATTGATCTAAATTTATGCTTAATTTCGATTATCGAATCAAAAAAATAGAATCATCGATGCTGCCACGCCCCCATGTCACATCAGCATGGCTTGCCAAGCTGGGAAAAAAAGACTTGTTAAACTGTGCAGACGCAGGAGACCCGTCAACAGAGCTTAAACCCTCCTCTTTCAATGAAGTCGCCGGTGTGGAAGCATTTGGGATTTCCAGTGAGTTATGTTGACAACGTTCGTTAGACAACACCGGCATCGCGATCCTCCGCCCGCCCCCGTTGCAAATCCTCTCGCGAAAAGTACACACTCAGGCCCTGTTTACACTGTCTTTGTTTTTAAATGGCATTTTAGAACGACAACGATTTGACATCCACAGTGGCGTGTAGCATTTCTGAGCAGCCCTCCTTCCTCTCTACCTCTGAAAATGCACATCACGTGACCACACAGACGCAGACGCACACACACAGCCATGCGCTCGAGAGAGCAGGTCCAGGCAGATCTGCTTCAATCTTTCACTCACTTGTACTTTGTCATTTTAGCGAACACCTCAGATACTGTTGGCTGGTTCCTGTTGGTTGTGCGTCTTTTTTACCGACGCCATTATAACGACACAGATCACTGCCTATTAACGAGTCCCGCAGAAAAAGTGATTGACAGGTGGTAATTATGTGTGTATCTTGCCTTTATTAATTTACTGTATGATTTGTTTATAGGTAAAACAAAGACCATGCAGGTCAGGTAGTTTAAACGGTAGGCTACAAATAATTAATTCGTTATTAATTAATTAATTATTCATAATCGAAAATCGAATCGAACCGTGACCTTAGAATCGAAAATGTAATCGAATCGAGGATTTGGAGGATCGTGACACCCTTATTATTTATGTTTAATTCATTATATGTTTATAATATATCATCTGTATATCTGAATACATATGTTGATCTGTGAATGGGTGCGTGTTTGCAGGTACTGCACGGATGATATCCTGCTGCGTGAGATGATGTCGGACCCCCTGCTGGAGCAGTACGGTGTGGTGTTGGTGGACCAGGCTCACGAGCGTACCGTGAGCACTGACGTCCTGCTGGGTTTGCTGAGAGAGGTGCTGCTGCAGCGGCCGGAGCTCCGACTGGTGGTGTTATCTGCTCCGCCGACTCCAGAAACGCTCCTCACACACTACGGCAGCGTCCCGCGTCTGCATCTGGAGGCCCCGAGCGCCGGCGAGGTGATCCACAGCAGCAGTAGCAGCTCTGAAAGCTTTTATTCGGCGCTGAGACTCGCACTCGAGGTCCACCGATCCAGAGAGCCCGGAGATGTGGCTGTGTTTTTAGCTACTGAGCAGGTGAGATCAGTCACATTAGTACAGCTCATGCACTTCCATCTGTTTGGGAACTCCAGGTACAATGCCCTCATATTGTGTTGGAGACCTTACAAGTTTAAATCAATCTAAGTTTGGAAAATTGCAGTTAATATTAGAATAATTTTGCAATGATTTCAGCAGCACAACAGCATTAGTGATGCCAGGCTTGGCCAGCAGCACTAACACACATTTCTCCATGATGACAGTGGCATTGTTGTGTTCAGCTGCATCAGCAGCGTATGAATAAACATGTCCACTCAGCTCTTCCACTGTTACCGACCGTCTGTCCTGGAAATCACATTCAGCCCTCACTAATCAAACTTGTTTGTGCTCATATTTACAATTAGTGATTTGTAGAAACCAATTGGACTTTTCTCTTAGCAGCTATAGCGAAGCTATTATTTTAAGCAAGTAGCGCAGTAGCGTTCACACCATAGATATATACACTAGATGTCGCCTGGCCTATTGTTGTCTATTGGACGGAATGCGTCAATAGCGCCGCCATCTTGCTACAGGGTAGCGCTCCTTTGAAATGAATGCGGGACCAAGGTACAGTGGAAGACTGTGGCCATCCAAAGCCAGAGATATACACATATACACATATATCTGTGATCGGGAGTTTTCCTGGATGTAATTTTTTTTTGTAATTACGAAAATTATCATTTTACATCACTTTTCTACATTGATGGATCAATGACCGCACGGGCATTCCTGACAAAAAGCTTGTGTTTGTGTGTACAGAAATGTACTATTCACCCTCCCTGTTAAATTTGATCTAATCATGTCTTGAAACACAGCTCCTCTCCTGCTTTCACTCCTCATACTGACGGAGGGAGCGATTCGTTTGTAAATGAATCCCCCGAACGACTCGTTCACTAACGTTAGCCGACAATAATACAAGTTTCTGGCAGCGCAGCATCTCGTTGTTATATTTCTTTTGCATTGTTTGCTGATTTTATTCAACAAAACTAGCATAAGCCGAGTGTTTAGTGCGAGTTGGAGCTGCTTTGCCTTATAGTGAATGCAGTAAGTGACTGTTATCATCAATAACGTTACCTGATTAGCACAAAAGTTCAGAACATACAAAAACAGAAAAAAAAACTTAATATTACCTATGAAATGTTCTGCCTTTGTGCTTTGTTTTCTTTGTTTGCTCGTTACTACACTCGTAGACAGCGCTAAAGTCCCGCATCTTCACGTAATAACACTGTCTTGACTAGTGCGGTTGAATGACATTTGTTCTGGGAGCACTGTACCAATGTGGCGGCGCTATTAACGCATGCTCAGGGTCCCTATGCGATATCTAGTGTATATATCTATGCGTTCACACAAGCTACATTTACCGATCGCTAGGCCCACACGGAATCTGCACGCGCAGAATTCCGCAGATTTTCCACAGAATTCCGCAGAATTCCGCAGATTTTCCACAGAATTCCGCAGATTTCTGCAGATTTTTAGCCCATTATTAATTCTGTTTATTTACTTGAGTTAATGTGTAAATCTGAATTTATTCAGTGTTTATTTAGTAATTTATTACTTTTTATTTAATATATTAAGGTTTTAGTTATGATACTCCGCTGGATACTCCCAAAATAATTCCGCAGAAATCCGCAGATTTTTACCAAAATTCTCCGCAGAAATAGCAAAAAACGTCTTCAGATTGCGTCTGGCCCTGCCGATTGCGGATCAATAAGTGACTGCACTCACATTCTGTGAGCTGTGAGGCTGGTGTCTATCTGATGAAAGTAAATCCATATGATGGCAAGAAGGGTGAAATTTATTTATTTATTTATTTTTCTCTCGCCTGGGGTCCGTTCTTTGTACCTCGCTTAAATGATCTAAGATGATTTGGCAGATCCTGGATCTGTTCATCTTGATAACTGATCTCTCGCTAATTTGGTTCTTTAAACAAGTTCGCGAATAAGATTAGAATGTCTGGATAAACTGATCTGAGAGCGCTGCGTGTGTTGTGAAGGACAGATCTATCGATCCTCGAAATCATGATCAGCAATGCAGCGATTGGCTGACAGCACAGCAGCGTAATGACATCATCTGATTAATATTCAATTATTCATGTGAGCAAAATTACATCAAATTAGCAGTAAACGGTTTGTTAAATATGACACGCAATAACCTTCCACATTTGTTGTGAGCTGCAGGCTTTACTCTTTCATGTGTCAAGAGTATTCATCATGTATTTCAATGCATATCAGTGTATTTAGTTCTACATTTAGAAAATATTTTCTTTATTATAGTAGCCGTTTTTTTTATTTTAATTTTATTACACACAATTTATACTAAAGCGATCTAAAAAGTTCACATCAATAAGTTTTCTCTTTGCACCACCAAGTGGCAGTCTTTGTACTGTCATTTCGAGGGTGCAGATTGCATAAGTTTTATTAATGTGTATAACTTTATTTTATTAATGACTATAACTTTATATATATATAGTAAAAAAATATTTACCGTTTTCCCAAATCTATATAACTACTACTGTAAGAAAATATCAGAATTAGGTACATAATTCTGTATTATCTTTGCTTGAACTGAGCCGATCTAATCCTGTTTATTTGAATTGAACCTGCTCCCGATCAGGTTTGAGCTAGCAGAACTGTTACTATGACAACAACTCTCAGATCAGTTCTGAAGAACGAAACGATCCTGGATCGTGTCAAATCGTCAATAACCAAATCCAGCTAACCGAGTGATCCATGTACGAAGAACGGACCCCTGTTTACGGTGGTCGATAACAAACTTTTTGGTGCGTTACTGCCACCTCTCACTCTGGTTGGTGATGTCGCCAAACAGTCATTGGGCTGACACAAGAAACTTGCTTGATTGAAAGATCAATGAGGGAGAGAAGTTATATTTATATATATATATTCATATATTTATATATATATATATATATATATATATATATATATATAT